AAAAAAAAAAAAAAAAAAAAAAAAAAAAAAAACACTTCAGTTACATGCCTTCATGCACAATGCTTTGCTTAGCCGACTTCCCCCCTGTACGCACTCGCTGATAGTGAAACTATTTTACCTTATTCGTCCGTTGAAATATACCGACCAATTCATGAATGTCATGACTTACGCACTTATTGAGTACAAATGGAATTTCAATTATATATTGGAAAAATATCAAATGTAAATCAATCCCTATACAGTAACTACAGTGCAATACTTCCACTGTTTAAGTATTTTTTTTTCATTTTCTCTTTTTTTTATTCTTAAGTTATTTTTCCTCATTGACTTTGGTTCAGTCGTGTGACATTAAAGCGTATTTGAATATTTTTTTGTGAAGCTGTTGAAACAGAACATAACAGAGTCTTATCAGAAATGATACGAATCAAATAATTTATTATTTTCCATTTTGACTTCTACATTAACATGTAGACACCATGTTTCTTCTTATTAACAAAAATTATATCAAAAGCATTATTCTTTCAAATACAGCATCTGTTCTTGCTGCCTCTTGGTGACAAATAAATCTGGTCCAATAATAAACTAAGAGATCTTTAAATGGTCTTGAATCTATTCACACACTTTTATTGACACATAAAGATGTCTCTGAAAATGCAGAATATAATACAAAGAAATGCATTTTAAATGTCTGTCAGATTGAAATAAAGATATCGGTTCATTAAAGTCTACCATGGTCGCCAAACTGATGCATTTTCGTCGCTATAATTTTCCGTGGATTCCCTGTCGGCAGTCGGCGATGGCATAAACTCGAAAGGTTGTCCTTTTGTTATGATTTTCCCGTCTGCCACGTTTGGAGAGCCTTTGAGTTCTGTGTTCACGAAAACAAACAACGGTAAATATGTTAGTTTCTTCGTCGTGGGACTGTTTGGCAATTCTTCGCCAGTTAAGTTATCAAGTTTTTGCACAAAAGGAGACATGGGGCTTGTCTTGTGTGAAGCAGACGACAGGTTTTCATCACGCGACCCCTCGTATTCATAATGCAGGCTCCGAGTAGATGGAATGAATGCTGAATCAGCCTGGATGGTGTCATCTTTGGTAAGAGAGTTGTGAGACCTGGAGTAACTTCTCACTTCATCCAACATTCTAAAATTAATAAATTTGTCCAGGTTGCCCTCTCTTTTCAGACATGTTGTAATAGCGTCTGTGCAATCCATGTATCCCTGTATGTAGTTATCGCTTGCTTTTGACGGTGTGTGTTCTGAAAATAACAAACGGAGCTTTAATTTACATACAAAATTTAATACGTGATGTTGTTAGTATCGTTAAATATTGCGCGTGAGGTCTTAAAAGGAACAAAAAGTAACAAATTCCTGGGTGCTTATGTGTCGTGGCCTTCATAATTTGAGGATAGGCCTATATCTGACCTTATCTCTTTTAAGGTCCTACTTCGCCGCTTACTCCAAGTATAATCAAAATATGGCCTTAAACTGCTTTCAATTCAGCCGTAAGTACCCTGTGTACCACGCTTACCTTCATCACCGCTCCCCTGCGTCTCATCCCGCCGCAACCGTCGCAGGTATTTCACCGTCATCTCTAGGACGTCAGCCTGGTCCATCTTGGAGGCCTTGTCGTCTGCCCCCTCCTGACTGGCCAGGAGCAACCGCTTTAGCTGAACCAGACACGAGTTGATTCGTCCTCGGCGGCGTTTCTCGGCCAGAGATTTGGCGCACTGTGAAAAAAAATCATTCCGATGTATAGAACCAGGAAGAAGGCCTATGTGATCATTTATTTTCTAAGATAGAAAATAATTGCGTTTCGTTTTCATCTCATATTATTTTTTTCAAGAATTATACTCACAATCTCTGGTGATGAAATTAAGGTGGAAAGATAATGCAACATGTAAATTGAATAACATTCTATGGATTTAAAAGTCACTCATTACGTCAAGATAGTTTTCAAGAAAGAAACTTTAAATGTGCAACAAGGTACTTAAACTGCAATGGCTATTGAATAACTGAACTTTTTTTACCTTCCTACGACTTCTATCTTTTCCAATGTCTTCTTCTGCAGACATCTCACGCGTACAACCCATGCTAGCCGATAGTACTGACCACTGCTGTAAAATCTTGTTAATCACGCTTCGCAGGTCCACAAGTAATCCAACGGTGCGGTCAGCGTTAATTTTCTGTCTTAGAATTCGTTCGTTGATTTTGTCTTTTATCTACCAATGTTGAATATTGCCTTCGTCCTACAGTAAGGTAAACAGTAAACTGCTTTCCGAGCCCGATTGATGATCTGAGGCAGACTGTCTTCGTCTGGCGGAATGTCCAGTTTTTAAGTGGAGGGGGTGACCACACGCCGGCAGAGTTAACCCACGTGTTGCTAATCCACTTGTTGCTCACTAATCAATCATCGTAACCATGGAGATTACTTGGCAGGCGGGGTTAGCCGTTGTATTCAACCAATCAAATGTGATGTTTGTTTTCACTTTCGATACATTTCTGTTATTTATTATCCAGGTCCCCGATCTTATTCATATACATTTCAAGCATGTCAATCAGTATGTGAAGGAAATTACTAATGTTATCCCGTTTCCGGGCCAATAAGATTTAAAATTGTGCCAACAATATGGATAACGACAGAATCATAAGAAAAGAGTTATGTATCTTGGAACAAACTTGGCACCACAGACTGCTGACACTGTCAAATAAAAACGTCACGAGAAGAAAAATAAAGATAATATTCTTTATCTTAACATGAAATCAGCGTCTGTGGTCAGTCATCAAAATGGCGATTTTAATGGTGATAAAATATAAAAAATTACATAAAGTCGGGTCCTAGATTTTGATTTTTTACACCACAATTGTCCTTTTTTAAATTTTGCTTTGAAAATCTGTAAGAAAAGTCATACGTATTTTAAAGTGTATACGTGCTGGCCATAGCTTGTAAAACACGATGATTAAAAAAGTGAAAGAGCAAATGATTGCCCCAGTCAGGCCACTTCAGATTCGGTCAAGAGTTTGCATACAAACTGACCGCAAGAATGTCCAATTTCGGTGTCCTTTAGCATCTCCGTTATTTGTCACTTTGTGGAAATGTTACCACATCCGACTGCGCTGGGCGTTGGCTTGGTTTTAAATGCAGTCTACTAGTTTAATGGATGCAAAATACTTAAAGCAGATTGAAGACCACAATAATCGGCATAAAAACCGACGCATTTTCCACAATACGATCCTTGATAAAAAAAAATGAATGATGTTAAACGTGTTATTGCTCTTACACATAATTTTTTGGGGGGAAAGATACATTTTTCAGTCATCATTACAAAAGAGACTACGACAAACCCAAGTCATAGAATGGAAGCCTTGTGACGATTCCAAAAGATATTTTTTGTATTTTATTTCATGTTCAACATTATTTTTAGAAAGCTGTTGCGTGGAAACATTAAGGAACGACCAATATTATACTTTATAACGATGGGAGGCATTCATCCCAGATCAAAAGGAAAGACACTGTATCCCTGGCTAAGATAAATTTCTAACAGTTTAAGACTTAGGATGTAGCACAATTTCATTTACAACGTTCAGCGGTCGCACCTGCCTGCCATAAGCGATTTCACATAACCGTCTTTATCAACCTCACCGAATAATAATTTCCTACATAATCCCCAAACCACTACTCACATACGATCTATAATTAATAAACTTCCCACTGTGGCATGAGATACATTGGCACGCGCACAAAGCCCCTAATACGGTCCGAGCTCTCACTGGTCACCGCGTGGGCGTGTACTGACCAGCGGCTATGATACTGACCATTGGGTTTACAGGTAAAATACCCTGACACTGATCCGCCAGAGCATTAGAAGGATAAGCCGAAAACTAAGAGGATAAATTGGCGCGAAGATCTGAGATTTGTTTGTTTGCAATAGCGCACTTACTATAATTTATTTTTGTCCTCACGCCAATTAGTAGATGATATATAAATCCTAGTTACGAGATGTTCATAGCGAAATATAGTAAGTGTGCTCGGACTACGTAAAAAAAGAAATCGGGAAAAATATAATAGAATTATATAAAGGGATTCAGTTTCACACATGCTTGCGAAAGCTAGTGAGATATCGATGAAATGCATTGTTTACATTAAATATGTCTCATATCATTAGTATTGATTTAAGAGAACCGGCCAACTCTAGTTTGTTTCTTTGGAGTGATTACTCACCAATGCACAATTGGAAAAAAACGTATGGGTATTTCAAAGGAGAAATATCTCATACATATATATATGTATATGTTAAACACACCCATACATCAATCATCACTCTGAAGTTGGATATGGTGTTGCTTAGATTTTAACACATTTCTTAAAATACATCAGGAAAAAATGAAAGAATAAAATGTGAATAAAATATTGAAACACAATTTGAAAGCGCATATATTTCAAATTACAACAACTAGGCGCTGCATGTTTTTCTTTGCTTCAGGAATAAGTGATGTGGACCAGCTATCTCTCAGCTTTAACTTGTCAACTAACAGTCTATCGGGGTTTTCAAATCCAGAAAATTGTACCCGTTGAGCGTAATTGGGAATGAATTGCATTTGAGAGACTGTTAATGGTAAATCGTTGACAAATCACTAACGGCACGCACTCTGAGCACTAAAGTTTTATAATAATACATAATTGCACCAAAACGCTTTTCCTCATTATGATTGTCTGACACGCTTTTTGGCGTTCAGTCTGCCTTAAGTTATAATTTCTTCTCTCATTTGATAATTCATTAGACTATATGGGTCCAGTTAACGGAAAGCACGTTCAAGTGTCGACATGGTATCTCAGACCCCTCCCTGAAAGAAAATGGCTCGAGGCGTCGTCTGCGTAACAAAATGTCCAATTTTCCCTCCCGCAGTCAGTGACGAGAAAGAAGTTGTGATTATTAACTATTTTGTCAGCGTTGGTCATTTTTAATTTCTACTCCGTCTGCGCGTGACGATTAGAGCGACGGCGCATCGTCTGCTTCCAGTAATTGTCGTCTTTTTACGGCCTTGTGTCGTCTACCCGGGGTGATCATTTGGAAGAAATCCAGGGTTAATATTACCAGATCTCTCCGCATGCCCGGCGATTTTCCCTGCTGCTAAACGAGATGTCAACTGGTCAATTAGCAGTCAATCGCTGACAAATTATTGTAATTAGAATTTCACTGCTCTCACCCCTGTCCACGAACGCTGCGACGGTTTTTATATTTCGTTAAACAGTGTTTGCCGGAAAACGATCCTCAATTCCCTCCACTCTCCGTTTTTATCACCTGTTGGTTTCTCAGTCGATCACCGCCATCACCATCACCTTTGTGTTCTTTTTGCTGCTCATTTTAGTTCACATTTTTTGTAACAAAGAGAGCAAACAAGCACCTGTTTTTTTATTGATTCGATCAATCATTCTTATTCATTCCCGATCAAGTCTAAAAGTAGGCCTACGTGGACCATTACCAAACAGGTGGGATAATTGAAAAAAAAACAAAAAAACAGGAAAGGCACATCACCTTATTGTAAAATATGGTAAAACTTGGTATTATCTTTTATAGGGTCAAAATTCGTTAGTAGGTATAGCTTTTTCTTATATCTATGTTATCTCTTTTTCCTCTTATTCCTTTACTTTTTTGTGGAGCGGGTTCAGTTGATTTTTCCTAGCTCTAAACAGTTTGTGTGTCTTGAATCGAAGGGGACTGCCTTGGGTCCTTATGCATTTCTGTTTAAGTTCACTAAGAAACGGAAAACGGGTTTCTACTTTGATGTGATGGAAAAAAGAATAATTTTGCTACATATTAAACTATAAATCCCTCTTTTTTACGTTTATGTTATCGGTTGACATAGATGAAAAAAAGTTCTGTTGTTTCCATTTTTTCCATCTTTTGTACATGTATTAATATGGCAGTTTGGTAGTTCAGATTGTGAAATAATTTTATTCTCTTAAAGTATTTCTTATAACTAAGTCCTTTGTGCACAAATAGACAAAGAGATACGATAGAAAATTTTGCAAAAATATTCTAAGAGAAAAGATAACGGACGAAATCTCTACATGCGGTGGAATGTCGCAGTAGCACGTGCCCGAAGCCACTTACATTCCCCAACGCGGGGCCCATCTGCCTTTGTATGGCCAAAACATAAGGTTACCCATCAATTTAGTGAAATTTCATTTGATTCCCCGCTCATTATGGCTTGTTCCTTTGTTCGCCGTTTTTCAGCAATTTTGCTCATTTTTCAAGAGCGCCAGCGTGGGAACTTTGTAACAGCATATGGCCTCCGTGCTGTAATAAGGCATTCCCGAAGGGAGAATCCAGAAGAATTTTATAAAATAATGTCAGGGAATCTCATAGCTGCAGCGTTCCTCCGGCGGCGCCTTTGTTTCCTTGTCCTGTACACCAAAAATTAGCGCGCAGACGACAAAGGTGGTCACGCGGCGCGCGCAGCGTCTCCTGGAGAGCGGGGATATGAGAGAGCACAATGGCGGAGGTCGAAAGTTGTACAACACGCGGCGTGAGCGCAGAGAGAGCGCGGCGTGAGACGCACCTGGGAAACAAGCGCAAGGAAGGAAACAAATTTTTGCAAAAATGCTTTATTCTGATGCTAATCTGAATTGAATTTAATTCTGATAAAATGACAAATGAGTCTTCTCAATTGCCTGTAATGATATCTGCAGACAAAAAATGTTTCTTTTTTCCCCCAACAGACAAAACAAAACAACACAACAGAAAGTGCTTAACTTATATGAAAAATAGTGTTTTCTCTGATAAAACACTAGCAAATAGTATTATTCCTGTTCACTTCTTGTTCATATCGGTCTTTTCTGTTAAAAATATAAGTGAAAGTCCGAAAAGTGACATAAAAATATACACAAGCTACTTACTCACTGTTTTTTGTGAAGAGGGCGAATTGTTAAAGGAAATATAACCATTTTGCAAAATATGTCTAAAATGAATAATCTGCTATGTTCCTAATTCTTTGTTCAACAAAACCTTATGTCAAATTAAAAACAAATTGTTAACTCATTTTTTACTGATTTTCATAAATCTGTGAAGTGATTACAACCTTTTTCCTTATCGACGCTCTTTTGGCTTAGGAAATTTGTTTCTGTTAACAGGGTGATTGAAAATTGAGCAACATATTTGCAACTGGATCGGTAATACCCACAATGATAAGAAGAAGTAATGATAGCTTTAAGAGCAAAACATCTGCGGTTTAAAGAATCGCAGCAGTGGGTATTTTGTTCCTAAAATGCCATGACTTCTAACTCAACATCA